CCATATGTATATTTGATCCACTTACATTCCCTTCGGCGTATTTGTTGTGCAATAGGTTCCTGGTTGATTCATTTTCTGCCAGCGCTCCCTGTTGCTTATCCTCTCTGGCAATCTATATATATATGAGACAATGAGCCATTGGTATTATGTAACAATAGCTTTTGTATTCATTAGTATTTAAAGGTATTGGATAACTGTAAAATGTATAACTGCAAAGTATTATGCTGATATGGTTCAACTAGTCTGAATAAGGCAGTGTATATAACCCACAAACCAATTAAATTATAGGTTCCGAATCAAGATTGATCCTTGAAAAAAGTCAGAGAGAAGTTTCTAATAAATTAAGATCTTGAACGGAACAGATGAGTAGTATTATTGTGGTTAGAGCTGGCTGCTAGCCAAAGTTGGTAGACGGTAATTGACGTCAATGTTTATGTCCCCAATATTGGTGGTGAGAAAATGAGAACAAAGGCTTTGCGTAGGCGGATACAGTTAGCATATGGATGATATGACACAGCCACAAAGAGATGCAAGGTTGACTTTCTGTGAGAAACAACCAATCAAAAGACTATATTTTCTACTAACAATAATGCACATTAAAATCTATAAATATGTGTTGATTTTCCTTAATAAACAATCTGTTACCTGGCCCTTGTCTTCTGTTGTTACAGTAGTATCACAAGCTTACACATACAGAGTTTGGCTTTTCTGTTCAGCTTCAATATTTTCCTGCTTTTATTGAATTTTTCCTTCTATGGCTTTCTGAACTGTCGAAATTATAACATCTGAAACTATCTATACCTGTGATTTGAAGTTGGTTTTAATAACAGCTTAGAGATAACTGGCCAATTCAAGAAGAATTCAAGCATTGGTTTGTAGGAATTTGATTGATTGGTTACAGGGTTTCATCATGAGCTGACATCGGTTAGAGAACCATTGGAAAACTATGCGGGAGTACTGGACAGCCGTTTCGTCCTAGTTTGGGACCCTTCATCGCTACGCACCCACCAATGGGGTTCGGACCAAGGACCTTCTGGTTACAAGGCTAGCGAGCTCTTAGACCATTAAGCCACTGGGACACATGGCGGAAGTTGGAATTCATGGGCCATTGGACTGGGTCCCAGTGGCTTAATGCTCTAAGAGCTCGCTAGCCTTGTAACCAGAAGGTCCTGGGTTCGAACCCCATTGGTGGGTGCGTACTGAAGAAGAATCCCAAACCAGGACGAAAAAGCTGTCCGGTACTCCCGGCTGGTTTCCTAACCGATGTCAGCTCATGATGAAATCCTGTAATCAGGAAGAATTGCTAAGATTACTGGGTAATTTTCGTATACAAAAGGGGTTAACATTTCGTTAACTGATAATCATTTTAAAAATGCAATCTTATAAAGTTCAATCATGGGAGTGGTATATTCATCTCATCCACTTCGTGTAACTTCTTACTGATCAAAATGTCAAAGACAATGTTCTTTTCCTCTACCTTCGTTTGCTATGTGGAATGTGCTAACTTGAACTGGTTCATTTCTGTGCTAGGTTCTACGTTGGTACTCAGTAAGTTACATTTCTTATGTGTAAGGCTATACTATTCAGTTGTTCAAGCTGAATGAAGTGGGACGAGACTTGAACCCGGAATCCATTCTCTAAAAGTAGAAATGCTGAAGTCAACGAGCGATATCTCCACCAGATTAGTCCTTTACCAATTAACTTTCGTGTGCATCCATCAATTCACTCGTTCCCATGGGGCAAAGTACATAAGCCTACCAGTAGAATATTGTCAAAACAACTTCTGACGTGATTCCATATGACGCAAGTTTATTTCGTGTAACACAGTACTGATAACTGGATGAGGTTTCGAGGATAATTTATTTGCTCACAATATCACTGACGTGATCTAACTGAATTTTTGAGCATCTTGTTCTTGCACAGCATTCTGCAACAATAGAGAAGTTTTTCCAGTCAGTTGAAGGGTTTCAAACTACATCTGTCCGCAGCGGAAACTCTTGTTACACACAAAGGAAAGTGTATAAAAAGCGGTTTGGCCAATTCCTTTAACTAAAGCTGTCTTAAACCTTCTTTTGACTTGTACAATAATTTCAGCAGTAATCCATCTTCATTTGTCTTTTTCTCTTTTCAACCTCTTAACTCTAAACTACGTTTAATGCATATTCTGGAACTCTTAATCTTATGAGTAGTATTCGTGTTTCCAAGCCCTTACAGTTTTAATGATAATCATTACTGAGCGATATTCATCATTTAATGTTGTGTTTTTTTAAATTGTGCAAGTCTATTTAACCAAGTGTCGCGGTTCATTCACTTTTTCTTTCTGATTATGCAGTTTAACATATTTTGTTACCAATTGATATAAATAATTGACCTCTATTGGTATTATCTATAACCTTTTAGAAAAACTATTTAACTGTATTATATCTTTGATAAGAAGTTTGGGATAAAAATATTCTTTGCTGACCTATATCTTTGCAATTTATATCGATGAAAAGTAATAACACTTATACGTACTTGAAAAGTTTGTTCATACGGCTAGTCTTTTCCACTTAACACTGTTCACACTTATGTTAGAGAACTCTCTCTCTCTCCTAGGTAAAAATCCTGTCTTATCTACTTTACGTAAATGATGCATCGGTGGCACAGTGGTTAGGATACTCGCCGACCATGCACATGGTCTGGGATTCGATCCCCGGCCACCGCACACCTGATATTAATGGTCGGCCTGCAAAATTTGGGCTACCGATATCAAAGTTGTACCAAAATACTGTGTGGAATCAAGCTGTATTAATGATAATAATAAATGATATTTATTTCTAACCAAGGTTTAGACATTTTCTAAAGCAAAATAATTGCACTCTATGATGTAACACTTTCCTAAAGATTTCACTTTATTAATTGGATGAGTTAATTATATTTCATCCTCACTGAATAAAATACCAAAAAGATTTTCTGAATTTCTAAGAATTCCAGGGAAACTTAATTGGTAACGGATTGAATAATAAATACCCTTATACGTGATCTAGTGGAGATACCGTTCATTGACTTCAGCATTCGACTTTTAGAGAACGGATTCTGGGTTCGAATTCCGTCCTACTTCATCCATCTTGAACAACTGGATAGTATCATAAGCTCTCATACAAGAAGTATATTTTATAGCCTGACACATAAGAAATGTAACTTACTGAGTATCGATGTAGAACTTTGCACCGAAATGCACCAAACGAAGGTAGTAGGGGAAAATAAATAAGTAAATAAATAAAATTCAAAAGAAAGAAGAAAACACGAAGTTCAGCAAAGATATCTTTTCGACGATTTCATTTTCATAAGCTGTACAGTCACATTTAAATACATAATTTTTACTTGATTCCACATAATTACGAAGGTGAATAAAAGGTGACAATTATTTTCAACGAGATGCTTAGAAACAAAATTACGCAGGATTGGAACGAATTACAAGTGTGCAAAAATGAGCATGGAAACAAATTGAGATAATAATTTCCAACTGGAAATGGAAGTTAGGAGGTGTGAATATAGATTACAAGAGCCTTAGAATCGAAAAGCCGGAGCTGTATGTTCAAACGAAATTAGTCCAACCTCTATAACTACCATGGACCTAGTTCGGTATGTTCCCTTAGCCTCCGTTTTTTTGTTGTTTCTTTTTATCTTTATTTTTTCGTTCTCTGTGTGTGATTCTTATTCTCTCTGTCTTCATTCAATTCATCCCATTTTTTCAGTTATAAGAACAGTTATTTTAAGTTTGTTTCCATGCTTTTCCTGCTCACATTTATAATTCGTTTAAAATAACTATTTTACAATTATATTCTAATCCTGTGTAATTTTTGTTTCTAAGGCTCTTGTAATCTATATTCACACCTCCTAACTTCCATTTCCAGTTGAAGATTATTATCTCAATTTGTTTCCATGCTCATTTTTGCACACTTGTAATTCGTTCCAATCCAGCGTAATTTTGTTTCTAAGCCTCTCGTTGAAAATAATTGTCACCTTTCATTCGCCTTCGTAATTATGTGGAATCAAGTAAAAATTATGTATTTAAATGCGATTGTATAGCTTTTGGAAGTGAAATCGCCGAAAAATCCTCTCAAGGAACTTAATCCTAAGATCCTATTATTTACGAAGACGCTCCGAATCGACGACCACTAAGCACAGATATCGACTTTAATTCCAAAACACAGTGGATGACAAGAAATTGTCATCTTCGATTGTTAAAATCAATATTCTGTACTAAGTCCATACACAAATGTATTGTACTTTTATTCGTATTCTTTCGTCTTCTTCTAACTTGTACACGATCGAATCACTCGTGCCTTCAAGTTGCCCGCCAGTGGCGACCAAGGCCAATGATCAGACGTTCAGTGTTCATAATCATTGACAGATAGCTTTGCTGAACTTCGTGTTCTCTTCTTTCTAATGTCCTAATGGGTATTTTCCACGATCTGAAAATTCAAAAGAACAATAAAAACTGAGCCATATCACCGACAGTCTGAAGCCATTACTCGAACAAACAGTCGATGACTTCACGGATTGATACTAGATTTTAGATTAGAGACAGACACCTTTTGCAACCTAAGTTACAGTTCAAGGGGGGCTGTTCAGGCAAGTTGTTGATACTGTGCGGATTAAGTGATGAAATCTATTCCGTGAAACTGACTTCTAACAAAAACTGCCTCGATCCAGCAAATATGGATTGTTGACAAATAATTGTCATTCCGTCACTATCACTATCAATTACAAGGCATACCGAGCTATGAGCCTCACTTATTGTTTATAAGGGCTAATAATAACGCCTAATTCCTCAAGATGAAGTAGGCGGACGACGAGGCGCAGACGTAACTACAGCCCATTGACCCATTGACTGGAATTCGATTGCTTCAATCAATAAGCCGAATTATAGAGTAGAAAATAATTAAACAAGACAAATATCAATAGTGGAATAACTCATTTCCATTTCATTTGAAAAAAAAAACAAAACAAACAAACAGCAAAGACAAAATGCAATAAAATTTCTTGATATTATATATAGAAATATTGAAATTCGAAACAAAAATAAACAGTGATGATGATAATAATAATAACTGCGGAATATCGAAATACATGTATACATACATAAATACATATACACATATATATAAGTTGTTTTGTCTTAACAATTCAATAGTGAAAAGAGGAATTCCCGATTACACTAATGACTCACAACAGAACACATCCAACTATCAATCCATAGTCAGCTGTTATATATATAGAAAGTTATATCAAGACAAATAGATCATAATAATAATAGTAATAATAATAATAATATAACGACTATATAAGAATATGAGATCATTACCCTTCCTAAAAAAGGAAAATAAAGCGAAATGACTGCTAACAATGTGTAACAGGCATCTTTTTAAAATAATAATTATGCTCCGATATTAATTAATCAGTGCCATACACCCATCACAATGAAATGCAAAATACACACAGATAGAAATAAGTGTAAGCGCGAATAAAAAGTGAATTTCAAAAAGGGGAAAACTTGAAAAGACAGACAGAGAAAACAAAGACAACAAGCAAACAAACAAAAGTGTATATAATAAGATGATTGAGTACGTATAAGATTATATGAGAAGAAAAAAAATAAGAGAATGATAAAACTCCAAAAAGAAACAAGAAAAGGAAAACAAAAGGGACGCATTAAAAATATACAAAAATATAGAGACAGACAGATTAGTGTGTGTATGTGTGTGTAGCATAAATAAAACAGTTAGATTCTGCACATATTACTACTACTACTAGTACTCATTGTAAGTAGTATACCAACGTTTTTCTTAAAAAAAGAGTAGATACATCGGCAGAAATTTTTTTTTTATTCATTATTACTATTGGTTAATTGATTGTATAATTATATATTTGTTACACGATTACAAAAAAAAGAGAGCTAACACAGAAATGGAATAGACGGAGTCAAAGAAAATAATATCCGAATTACAAATATCATGAAATCAGAAAATTACTGACTAACTGACTGACTGACTAGTTGTATTGTACCATAATTAATCATAATTTACATATTAATAGTTGCAGTTGACAAGTAGAATATCCTACAAATTAAGCTGAACCAAAAAAAGCATAAAGTATGATGTAACATTTAGGATTGTTTTTCTTCTAAAAAAACACAGGAGCTCCCAGATACACAGTGAAATAGAGTAAAAATGTGAACAATACTCAAGTAAGTCATCATAGTCTACAGAAATGCGTAAACCTGCATAGACACACATCCGTGAATGGAAGTAGTAGAATTACAAAAAAATAAAGAGGAATTGAATTGAAAACAGCAGATGAAATGCAAAGACGACGAAGGAACGCGCGCGCGCACATACACAGAATGAGAGAAAGATTATGTATGACCGCGTATACTGTTGGGGAAAAAAGGCAACAGTTTTATAATTCATACTATTTTAAAAATAAAATCAAAAAATAACATGTATGTATGTAAATCGAAAAATATATTTATGTGGATTGTAATATGTGTTCATTTGTTTTACTCTTCTCCGTCTTCTTCTTCTCCTCCTCCTTCTCTACTGATACACAACTGAGACGACGACAACAATGACAATGACAATAAGAACAGTAACAACAGCAATAACGAATACTACTCCAATTTTCAATCAACAATGACTTTTCTGAGATGATGATGATAAATATTGACTCATCAAAAGTATCAGTTCTTTCTCTCTTCGCAGACAACACACCGAGATTCTTATACAATACACACTAGAGTATGTAGTTATATTTTCTTTTTATTTCAAAAGTAAGCTGTTTGATCATGATTCTTTGGTGATCTCAATGCAATACTTTGTTTGAAATCAGTTAATTCCTTTGTCAACTTCAGCCGAGTATAATAGGCTGATAATGAGCCAATAAATAGTGTCTATTGTCAGAAAAAAAACGAAAGAAAACGAAAGCATAGGTTTTAAAAAAAAACACAATATCCCACTTATGCATATATATATATATATATATATATCACCAAAAATACCCGTTGAGTCATGAAGAAAATAAAAGACAATTCAGCGTAGAAAATTTTTTTTATAGCAAAAATATTCATTCAGACATCTATAAAACACAAAATAATCGAGCAAAGAATTTTTTTTCGATAAATTCCTCTTCCAGGCTCTACAATTATATATATGTTTATATACACAGAATATTTTAAATTAGTAGTTAATAACAATATTAGCGTTTTTTTTAAATAATATCGATTTGTAAATTATGATCAATGCAAGAGAGATTTGCTCGGATGAATGTCTTGACGAGGAGCTTAACAATATTAAACGGCTGCTAAGTGAGAATGTTTATCCCGAAAAGTTTATTGATAAGAATATGAATCTGAAACCAAAACAGCCCAAGTTACCAACAGTTCCAAAAAAGACCTTGTTCTTACAAATGCAGTTCCTAGGAGACAACACCAGTGAGATACTAACACATCGCCTTAGAAATGCGGTAAAAAGAGCATTCCCTGCTGCTCAATTACGCTGTATCTTTAAAACCACTCCTCTTCTGCGTTCGGGAATAAAAGACAAACTGCCTAATTTCGCTTCTTCTAAGTGTGTGTATCTACCAATTTAACTGCTCCTGTGGAGCCAGTTACATAGGCCGTACAATTAGGCGTGTTTCGCGTCGAATTTCCGAACATCACCCTGCCTGGTTAAGCAAAGGACAAACAAAATCTATTCGCAGCGCTATTCTATCTCATCTTGTGGAGACAGAACACAAGATTGACGTTAATCATGCTTTCAGGGTCATTTACCGCATACCTACGAATCTCAATTTCGCCTTAAGAGTTCGTTTACTAAATATTGCTGAGGCCTGCTGTTGGGATCCATATTAACAAGCCTAATTTGTGCATCCAGAAGAAGTTAGTTCAGGCATTATCATTACCTTGGCCATCCAGGTTTGAATAATCCAGAATTTTTGTGAAATTTCCCTAATTTTAGTTGATATTCTATTCGCTATTATATCTTTATTATTATTATAATTTAAGCATCTTTAATGAACTATAATAGCATTGATCATAATTTACAAATCGATATTATTTTTAAAAAAACGCTAATATTGTTATTAACTACTAATTTAAAATATTCTGTGCATATAAACATATATATAATTGTAGAGCCTGGAAGAGGAATTTATCGAAAAAAATATTCTTTGCTCGATTATTTTGTGTTTTATAAAATTTTCTTTATCGACGAAATCGTCTTCAGAGGCTGTACAGCTGCATTTATATTCTTCACCAAAAGATGTATAGTAGTCAATTATTGAGTAGTAGTCATGGGGGACATAATTAATATGATTACTCAGAAATGGCTTCAAAAGAAAAAAGAAAAGTTATAAATTTTTTTATTTTTTTTTATTATAGCCTCATTCCATACAGTACTTTTGGTACAAGTATGGAATTTTCAGCATGTGATACCGGTAGCCCAAATTTTGCAGGCCAACCATTGATATCAAGTATGCGTCGGTAGGGGATCAAACCCCGGACCATGTGCATGGTCGGCGAGAGTCCTAACTGCTGTGCCACCGACATACTCAACAGCATAAAGGAAGAAAGCGTTAGAAATTTGATAAAGTTAAAATTGCCAATAAATAAGAAGAAAGGTGGTAGTTAGAGTGTCCATTTAATAAGTGTGATGAGGGTGACAAAATGTACAAAATGAACATGTGAGAGTGACAATAGTGAATTAGATATTATAGTAAAGTAAAAGTAAACTAATCACTAAAGATGAGAATAAAAGTATAAGAAAACTACTGGAAACGACTAATGAAAGAGGTTAATACTATGGTAGAATAAGAGACTAGACAAACGTTTTCTGTACACATAGTTCTAGGTTGTATTTACGAATTCCCAACGTCCCCGCCATACATAAATGTTGAAACATGACGTCCTTTGCATACCCTACAAAGGGTATAAGGTTTTGGCATTATATATATATATGCTTGTAGTTATTATAAGGTGAACTTTTAGGCTTGATTGGAATGTTTACAGAGTGAATTTATCATAGACCTTATTTAATATACAAGCTCGTATGAGATGATCAGTTTGTATTTTAACCCAGAAATACAAGTATAATTCCAGACCAGTGACCAGTGAAAAGATACTTAAGGATATAATTTAATTTTTTATGGGATTTCGATCTTTAAAAGTTGTCTCAAATGATGGTATACAACAAGTTTGATCTACATCTAAAATGACATATTCATAAACAAACAAAGTGGCATTTACCACCAGAACTGGAAGTGTTACTCAACAACTTTTTGTATTTCAAAGCAGTTGGCAATAAGCCACAACTGTTGTGTGACAGCTACTAATATCCCCTCGCTTCCTACAAATCTCAGTGATAGATGGGGTGAACCTTGAAACTATATGACCTAGTGGTTGGAAGTCAAATACCCAGATGAATGAGTCATAGCGCCACAAAACAAGCAGTAACAACATTTGATTGAACGTATGAATTAAGATAACTGAACTGGGTGATTTGATCAACAGTAAGGATTCGCGTCGGTGGCATAGCGGTTAGGACGCTCGCCGACCATGCACATGGTCCGGAGTTCGATCCCCGGCCGGCGCACTCCTTTACCTCGCTAAGCCAAAACTAAAAGCTGGTGAAGAGGAAAGGTTGAGCATGAGGCTAGGAACCCCATCCTGTAAAAATAATCACCACTGCTGCAGAAACTTCAAGGCACTAACTTGAAGTCCTATGTTCCACTGAACAGTTGTTTATAAAAATGAGTGTAACTTGATAATCCTGGGCATGTTTCATCCTATTTGAGACTCGTCAGTTGCACATTATGTGCATCCCCAGCGAGTAATGAGCAATGATATTACCACTGAGACTCGAACCCACCAACCACCATTTACAGATCTAACTATTATCCATTAGAATACTGAATCTTTAAGGCATCATTAAAGTACCCACACTAGGAGTCAATATGTCAACAGACAATGAACACACAGTAACCCCATAAAGTCATCAATTAACAGAAAATTTAAAATAAGTGTTTCACCACAAAAAACAAAGTTACGAAGATTTTCAGAAACCACAATGTGATTGAAAATTGCAGAATAGTTTCAGTGCTCAGCTAGCCAACAACTAATCGTTTATGAGGCTTGATATATTTTTGTCAGAAAAATCAGATCAATATAAAATTGAAGTTGGTTCATAGTACAGTACATGAAAGTAATTTTGGAAAACATATGTAGGCAGTCTACTTAGGTGATTTCTTTTACTATTATCTAATGACTGGCTGACTAGTTTCAACGTAGAACTTTGCACCAATGTGCAGTAGTTCGAGTCGCTACACTTCACTTAGCACACAAAACAAGAGAAAGTAAAATGACATGCAAAACAGAGACAGTGAACAAAGATATGAGGCAAAAAGAAGAAGAATATGGAAGATCCATAAAATTTTATTAGGCATTATAAATCATAAAGAGTGAATGCATCCATGGCAGGTATTGACAACGGTTTTGAACCATATCACCTATTGTTTCCAGTCTTCATTGGTTCCTACCGTCCCGAGGACCCCAGCCAGGAAGTTTACACCTCCCTACATGACTGGCTTAAACTAACTGTTCGTGGATTCCATTGACTGGTGAAGCCATATTTTGGTTTGACCACCACTAGCTAACTCTTTTCCAACTTGATCCATCCTATGTCAGCTAACACTGCCTGTTGTTGAGGAAGGCGATGGCTAGGGATGCATGTGTAAAACATGTCCTAACCATCTCAATCGATGCAACTTCACAGCCTCGACTATTGATTTCCCCGTAGCACTCGACGCCTACGTAATGAATGAAATGAATAAAATTGTAGTGCTAAAATATATTGGGGTAGATTTCACCACGAAGTGTCACCAGTTGTATAGCCAAGGGAAATGTAAGACAACTATCATATTCGAGTTTAGGACACTTAACCTATGCGTACACTAGTAGTGACATAATGAACTGAGAATTGTCTGTTCACAATGTAATTACATTTTCACTGGATTCGAATCCAATATGTGTATCAGTAAACAAAAAGCAAATACGAGACTTACCAGACCAAGGAGAACAAAAACTGCGCCACCCAGAGAACAAGCAAACAATGGGCCCACAATCATTACCTAGATAGAAAATGAAAGTAAATGAGATAATAATCAATGAATAATTGATACTAAGTTAAAACATAATAAACATGATTGGTACGCTGAAGTATTAGACAGTAAAAAACCACAAATCTACATTCTATCTTTACCTACAGAAATCAAGTGTACATACAAACAATGATCCCTTAACAGTGAGATCTGAAATTCTTTGATATCAGAGGTTTCTAACCAAGTAACTATTATGTAGACATTTACTCATAGATTTAAGCAGTTTACTTTCAGTCAATAGTTTCGGCATGCTCCACATGTGATACAGTTTGAGCAACTCGGTGATAACACTAGTCTTCACACACAGTTTGCATACGACTTACATCCTGATACGTGGAAAAACCTATTTCAAGTGGCTGAGACCCCACAACATGAAGTGCCCTTGACTATCCAAAGAAAAGTAAAATTCTGACAAGGAAAACACTATATATGATTGTCTTTATATACATTTTATCTGAAATATGGGGAAAACACCCGATTCTGTGGATGGATATTTCTGTTACAGCAAACTCAGCCTCTACTTTTAAATACAATATATTTTAGAAAAGCGGTTCTATATATATATATATATATATATATATATATATATATATGAGGAAATTGCAGCACGTTCGCCATTTATTGCGATTCTTGGCTATATCCGATAACGTTTCGAGCCACTGATTCGAGTAATCTCTCGGACTCCAACCAGGGAGTTGTAACGCACCAACCGATGCTAACCTAACACAAATATCCCTCATCTCGCGACGCCACGTTATGAGCTGACCACCTCTCCTCCTTTTCCATCCCGTCCCAGGGCTAGCGAACAGAGACCTGTACGGAAGCCTTTGGGATGACATTAGCAACATATGTCCAAATTACCGAAACCAGTGTTTCCAGATAACAACACTCAACAAATGGTGATCTCCACTGTGTCCAAACACACGCCACTGAACCTCAAGAAACACAACGATTGTTGGTCTGCAATACGTGTGGCGGTGTTCCAACAACTGACAAAAAGTGAACACATGATCAATGCATCCACAACCTGAATGAAGCCCAGCCTGCTCTTCGCGAATCAATCCCTAACGTGTTTTGCACAGCCTGTGAAGCACGACAACAGCCAATATTTTAAACGCAACTGGTAGCAGACTCATACCCCTATGGTTGTCACATGTGTTACGTCAACCCTTTTTAAAGATGGGGACGATAATGGCTTCATTCCACATTGATGGTACATCCTCAGTCTTCCATACCTTTCTAAATAATGCAGTTAAAGCCATGACGAGAGTCTCACCACCATCTTTAAAAACAGCTGGGGGGTCGATTTTCTGGGCCGAGTGCCTTATGGCGTTTCAGTACATGAAGTTCCTTCCGGGCCTCCACTTCGATTGGTGGGTCGGTACTGACCGACCTAGGAGCGCTGGAGCTGGTGACGGTGGATTCTGGAGCTAGTTAGCTATAGAGTCAGATGATATTTCGCTACATATATCTATTACCTTTCTTACTTACATTGTTTGTGAATATCGCGTAAAATAAGCATTTTAAGAATTTATATAAGGGATTAGTGCTTTTCATATCCCACTTAAAGAAAGCTTCAAATAAAAAACTAAGTTAATCTAAATTCAGTGCCTGAACAAACTGAAGTTCACGATGCAGTTTTACCCAACACATGCTTTATACATACGTATATCTTAATAACAATATTATGCGTGTATGGATGCATAATCAATCTTTCAGAAGTTCGCCTAACAGACTTCCCAGAATTATGCACTAACAATAATAAGCCCTATACAACATGTGATGATTGATGAACGTGTCCGCGCGCTTATATATTTATATAATATGTCACACGTGACAAAGCCTGAAATATGAAGATTTTAGGAAATGCCCTTATCACAATCAGAAAACCAAAGGCGATTAACTTACACATCATTATCTCTAATAGAATAAATAGTTTTCAATGTTGTTATGTTCTCTGAACTGGACGGTTTAATTTACAAAGCTTTGATTGTCTATTTTTGGATAATATATCTTCAGTGCTAACTTCAGAGTAAAGTAGTAGGGATTAGCTCACTAAATTTTGTCTCTAAATGCCTGTTTTGTGCACAAACAGACGAAAGAGTTTTATTTATTTCCGAATGAAAACTTTTACTACATCTACAAGAATAAACATCCCTTTGAATTATATTATTCTACGTAAGTAAAGTTGTTCACATAATCCCATCTGCAGAAAATATAAATGAATCTAAAAAAAAATTCATTCTACAAGTGTGTGTAAAGGAGATTGTCTACGGATAGTTCTTGTGGAGATGACAGTGTATAGCGCGGATAGCATTAAGTTATACTGCAGAATGCTATCCTACAACTCAATGGAATTTCAGATAACAGGTATATAAAAATAGCTCTACCCAGCTTTTATTACAGGGCTCATTAAGAAGCAATGACAATGAAATATGCGTAATTCGGCATCTAAATACACGATCTTTTGCCTCAGAGGAGGTGCAAAAAAACAATGATTATCGATTTTTTTCCTTCACTTTCCCCAGTAGAACATAGGGCTCCAAGCTAGTGGCTTGGAGTTTCTGTAGCAGTGTTTATTTTACAGTATGGGGTTGCTAGCCTCATGCCCAACCTTTTCTCTTCACCAGCATGATTTCTGGCTTAGTGAGCTAAAGAAGTGCGTCGGCCGGGGATCGAACTCCGGACCATGTACATGGTCGGAGAGCGTCCCAACCACCATGCCACCGACAATCGGTGCTTCTTTTATAATATGATCAGCAATAATAACATTTGTCCTATCGCCATAACAACCAATACACATGTTAGTTCTAAGCATATAAAAAGATTTTCAAACTTACTTCATCACAAAATCTCGCAAACTCATCCAATGAAGTAATAGCCTCACGATAATTCAATGACTCATCATACATCCATGGTTTAATATAAACACCTAAATAGAAGTTTTTTTAAAAGAAAAGAAAACATCAGAAAATACAATTAGTAGTTAGACAGAATATTCAGTGAAATACCTCTAATCGAAATAAATTAATTAAAAATGCCAGAAATCCTAAAAATATTACCTTTAAAGGCTGTAGGAAAGACTTGTGATAAAGAGACCATATATATATATATATATTGCTTTGTCTTTTGGGGAATTAGCTATCTACTCATGAATATTTCATCATACTGGGTTAGACGATTTCACCGACAAGTATTTTATGTGTAAGTGAAGTACCATATTTAAGGTATATGAACATTTATCAATCTTGATTGCAGTGTAACTTAAGGTATTCTGTTTATCGACAATTGATCGACTGCTGAAATATTCGAAATTCAAATTAGCGATTAACAAGTAACGACAGAAGACAACGGCCAGGCAACAGATCCTTTATTGAGAAAATCAACAGATATTTATAGATTTTTATGTGTGCATTATTATTCGTTATTGTTAGCTGAGAAGTAACGTCTTCTAATTGGTTGTTTTCTTGCGGAAGGTTACTCTGTACTGCTTGTGACCGTTTCTCAGAAGGTTAAGTCATATATCTGCGAATCGTATTTGCGCAAATTAAGTCTACTATGATTGGTTGGTGAGTTCCCCAAGGTTAAGCTTTGTTACTGTTTTATCTCATGACCCCAATTCGGGACGTCAATATTGACGTAAATTGTTGTCTAAAATTTTGGCTTGCAGACAGCTCTCACTACAAATATACACCAAGGAGACTATTATATTTGACTAGTTAAAAACACCCAGTCCCGTTTTCATATGCAAGTTCCGACCGAAAGCTGCTACCTTGACGTGGTGGTCGGGTCTGAACACCGCAATGACCCAACAAGCTATACTGGCTGAGACTTATGTCGCTTGAGGTCCAACCATGCCAGAAAGGTCGTTTGGATAGCGGTTAGACAAAAAGCAGTAACCCAATCCAATGATTTGAGCCAAACAAAATCACAAAATATCATGCCGGATCGGTCGGGGCCCGGATTAACAACGACCGCGCTTTCTGCTGCCATGTCACAGGGCAGGAGTGATAAATATGCTACTGAGACACACCAAATAAAAAAACAGGCCGCGTGTAACCGGCCTCAAGCAGTTGTCCCCTCGGCTCTGCGGTCACGCAACCAACTTTCACGGTGTGGGCAGCCGGGAAGTAACAATCGCCCTCACAATCCGAAATGCACGCGAAACCTCTCAATCATATGCAAGTAGTCACTTGGCAGCTTGCAAAAAAAATTCTTACAACAAATCATTTGTAAACCTAAAGAACTGACAGGAATTAGAATTCACATATCCCAAGTTCGATCTCCGATGAGGTCGTGCGTGCGTACTGTTGAAAAGTTTCGGACTAGGATGGAAAAGCTGTCCAGTACTCTCTGGTTTTAAAGGTTTCCTAACTGATAGCAATCCGTGATCAAACCTGAAACAAAACTAGAGAAATTTCCTGCTAGAATAAACCTTCATCAGTGTTTAGAAATGCAATGAACTATCTAATACAGTCCTACAGGAGGTCAGTCGCGAGCCCGGGTAGCTCAGTGGTAACGTTTATGACTGCAAGCACTGGGTAACACAGACTTGAATCTCAGAAGAGACATGAGTTCTTTCAAGGCTGCAGATACGCCTTGTTGACGAGTGCCAACAAGCCCGAAACCTAGGTCCACGACTTCCTACCGATTACCCCCAACTATTTAATAACAATGAACTATTATTACAACACAATTCCTATAAAATACTACACAAAATGACGAAAGGCACAATACGCAAAGATATATTTCAAGGATATCTTAGAGTTAAAACAAAAGAAATCCATGATCGATTTGCCAGTCTCATAAGGCACAGAATTAATCTGGTGTGACCTTAACCAAGGGTCAAGGTGATCAGAAATGCACAGATCACTTCATGTATGACATTATTACACATAGATCAATCGATAATCGTAAGCCTGAGCCCCATATTTTATGTTGTCATTGTCTTCGCTTAGACATGCACAACACATCTATTAACGTAAATATTAACTATCCGACCGTTCATAATAATAACTAGTTTACTAATCACTATAACAAATCAATACACAATATCATTTGTGTAATTAAAACAAAAAGAAACAGAATTATGCTATTATTTAAATATTCATTCAAACAAAAACACTTACCATAATGCGTTAAATTAAAAATATAGTTGAAATCAGGAGAAAAATATCGATTATTACGATAATTCGGCATGTTAGCTGAATTTCTCAGATTTGGAAATGGAGATCTGAAACCTGTATCAGGTTCAGCTGGTGTATAACCAAGGTTAAGATTTTGATAATAGTAGGCAAGACGAGCTGTATACGTCTCCTCCAGATACTCTTTACGATCTCTTAATTCTGATAAAGATGGTGCGACACGACCATCAGGACCAGGACGTCGTGCACCTGGTCCATGCCATACATCAGCCAATTCAGCAGTACAAATGGAATTAAACATTGCCCAACAAAATGTAGGGACAACAAGGAATGCCAAAAATATTAACCATACTACTATGGTTACATATGTGGTGCACATAAACTAAAAGAAAGTAAAACAAACAAGAAAAAATCTTAATAGTATCAAACGCTGAAGTCATCAGTTACGGGGCGCACATCAACATGTTTTTGTTGCTAAGTTTCCTGAAAGCAATAGCCTTCATACAATTATGCAAAATTTAAATAGACAACCCTTCAAAGTTCTACTTAACGCTCCTGTCTTAACAAACAAATTCCATTTGACTATCAAAATCAGGATAAATTGCACATGATTTAATGTCACAACTTCACAGGATCAAAACTTCTTTCTCATATCATCAAAATAAGCAATAAATGGTCAAAACACAACCCACATAGACTTAATGAGCAAAAATAATCCGTGTAAAAGTTGTGAACAATAACTAAATCTCCCCTCCCCCCTTCCTCACTCCTCCTACATTTAGACTGTGTCCACTCAAATGAAAGTTAGGGTAATTAGATTAAATGAAAATAGGACATAATGATCACGCCTCTCTCTTATCATTCCTTCTTGTACTTTAAGCATTGGTGATCAGTCAAGGTTAGAATAAAAACCACTGGCCATTTATATATATATATATATATATCGATTAATGACCTCAAGATTGATTAAATCTGTTCGAATAAAGTTCAACCCAAAAGCAAAAACCTTCCATTAGAATTATATTTCTATCCCACTGTAGTGTTTACTATGCGAAAAACAAGTGGAATAACGCTTGAGGAGAAAAAACAGGAAGTGAGAATTCAATGTATCAATAAGAATTTTAAAGATGCGATAACAGAAAGAATAGGATGGAAAACTACAGCTTAGATAAACAAAGAGAAATTCTTAAAATTATACGAGCTAGTCACTTTTATGCATCTAGCGATTCAACTGTTTCGGTTATATTGGTTGTTTATCTATGAATTTAATTTTTTGTACACCTGAACACTTACACCACACCAGTGTGGTTGAAAGAAGACGAAATACAAAGACGTTGGTAAAATAGCATACTAGTACATCTAGTTTAAATAAACTAAACAGTTAAATATTCATTGTGTACCCATGAAGTTGACGAGAGCCACTAAACATTAAATACTTCGGATACCTACATCTATACCCATTCGATCAAACAGCCCAAAATGTAGTTAACTAACATCCTGTTTTCGAGTAGGACCCCCGAATGTGAATTGACAAGTTGGTAGTCCAAAGAGTGACATAGAAGAGACTATGTGAATAGGGAATGAAAGCTTACGGACAATTCTCAAGGCAGATAAAAAATGGACCATAGAACAGAGAGAAGCTGGAGCTGTGAGTCCACCACTCGGAACCCAAGGAACGAATAATCATATACTCATATCCATCTTTGATATAATAATCTGCAAGTTCCTATACACCCTATCATGTCATACCTTTCAGTTATAACTTTGAAACCAATCACGTCCAGGGTCACCCACCAAGAGAGATGATTAATAAACTCGTGGAGAAATCTAAAAGCTCACTTCAAATTGAAGTATGCGCTGAAGATGTCACCTAGTAGGGTGATGAAAGCTTCGCAAATTAATTATCCAGCTCAGAGAACACAACCACATCAAAATCATCCATCTAAGCTACAAATCTTCTCCATCATATCTACAAGCATCTACCTGCTCCATAACTGATTATTTATTTAAACAGATAAGACACATATATAAGGCATCTTAAAGTGTAAGTCCCGCAGAGTTCTGTTTACCAACCACAGAAAGAATTACGGCTATGACAGTGACTCTACCAGGGTTTCTATAGCTAATAACTGACGAAAGAATGAGGAAAAACTTGCAACCATAGGATCTTGTAAGGCATGAGTTCGTAAACCAAGGATAAGTGTACCACAAAACAGCAATCACCTGCAATTTATCATAATATAGCTTTCTGGTGCGTTGTGAACATGTTCGTGAGACTTGGTTCATTTTCTGTTCATTTTAGTTGCCCTACGGCATTTATCTTTGCATTATTTCTATTCTTCTAAACTTACATTATTTAATGGACAAACGCTTTATTACCAGTGTTAATATGATCATTATTTTCATGTCTTTATTGTTCATCAGATCAGTATTTTATTATGTTTACCTCATTTGAGATTGTTACTAATCTTTATAAGTGGTTTATGCATTTATAACCTCATCGGGGATCGAACCCAAGACCTTCAGGTTGATGAGGTGAGTTCATTGACCAATCAGCCATCTATGAATTCTAACTTCTATTAATTCAGGATTTTTAGCGCAATCGTCAACCAGTGTTATCAGTGAGTATTTATTATTTCTATTTTTCTAATGCTTATGACTCCTTGGTGGTGCACTGATATCATACACTTAAACTGATGACTAAGTGTCCTGTTCAACATAATGACATCCATTGGAGAACCGTTGGAAAACGTAGGAGTACCGGACAGCTGTTGAGTTCTAGTTTGGGACTCTTCAGTCACCAAGTCGAACACGAGGACAGTTACCCGCCCGTGACACTGGCTGGCAGTTGCGCTAAATGTATATCACGAATTGGCAGAAGTTGGAATTTGTGGCCCATTGGGTCAGGTCCCAGTGGCTGAATGGTCTACGAGCTCGCCTCGAAACCGGGAGGTCCTGGATCCCAACCCCGATGGGGACATACTGATGCAGAGTCCCAAACTGGGACGGGACAGCTGTCCAGTACTACAATGGTTCTCTAACTGATGTCAGTTCGTGACCAATCCTGTAACCAACCAAATCCCTGCGAACCAACACACGATAATGACATTCATCTAGTCTTCTCAGTTTTCAGTACAGCAGTGTGTGCTACTTGTAAATAGATTCAAGTAGTATATAGAGCAACGGGAGTGATGATAATGCGTGTAATTTGAAGAGCTTCTGAAGAAGAACGGAAAGGCACTTTGAAAAATCCAATTAGAAACAGATAAGTGCAATATTATTATTGTTATTTGGAAATCGTGACATCAGTTTGAAGTTTATGGTTTCCAAAATACTCATTACATTTTATCATAATATATAATACATCCACCCCCGCAATTTTTTTCACCTCAGTATTCCTTTATCACTCTCCCCAAAAGGCCTGTTGAAATTATTCCCACTAGGCTGTCATGCTTCATTCAGTGTTTAGGTGTATGTAACATTTTCACTGTTTAACAACAGTATGCATAAAATCATGTGAGTGGAGTAAAGACCACTCTGACCAGTCCTAATAAAATTTATGACATTTCATACACGAATACATACGCCTTTATAAATTTGGAAAGAAAAAGGGAAAAACAACCCATATATCCATTTTATCCTACTTTCACGTGATGCCATTGCTTTGTTCAAGCTAAAATTTTTGCATTCAGTAAATTCTGCTCTAATAATTTTTTTTCCCTATTATATTTGTAAATATTTCAACATAGTTAACATACACACACACACATTTATTCTTCAAGTAATTTGGATCACAAATTAATACCGACCATATGTAAATGTTACAAATAAATGATAAATTGAATAGGATTTATGAGTAATGCATTGTGATCACAGAACGAAAAAACACCTGGCTAGTTATTCATAGGTGTTTTGCCTCATATTTGTATTCATTATCTATCTTTTGAATGTCTCTCCACTCTGTTGTCTTGCATTGTGTGCTACATGAAGTGTGGCAACTCGAACTGCTGCATATCGGTGCAGAGTTCTACGTTGAAACCAGTCTAGTCCAGTCCAGTCATAAGCTTTTACTAAGGTTTAACGAACTATTATGGAGAGAGGGGGAGAGAGAACCAATCAGAATTTGAAACAAACTGCCAAGGAAATCTGTCATATATATACATGACAGATTTGAATTAATCTCAATGTATGCAGATTTTGTCATGAACCAACATCAATTGGAGAATCTTCGAAAACTGGGGACCGCTGGACACAACTGTTTCGTCCTAGTTTTGGGACTCTCGTGACTAAATCTACATTGAATTCAATCAAAATGACTACAAAAAACTTATAATCTAAATATCAATCTTTAGCATCGGTGGCACAGCGGTAGAATGCTCGCCGACCACGCATGTGGTCCGGGGTTCGATCACCGGCCGACTCACTCCTTTACCTCGCTGATAAAGAAGAAGGGTTGGGCATGGAGGTAGCAACCGCATCTTGTAAAAATAAACACCACTGCTACCGTCTGTCTGGACTCAGCATAGAACTTGGCACCGAAGTGCAGCAGTTCCAGTTGCCACGTTCCAAATAGCACACAAAGGTAGACAGGAAAATGAGAGAAGAGAATCAATAGAATTTCGATAAGTATAAGAGTGAAACAGAATGAGTAATGGTAGAAAGGAATATGAAAGGTTACAGAGACTGAATACATCTGCGTAAGCCATTGACAACGATTTTGAGCCATGTTACCTATTGTCTCCAGCCATTGATTCTTAGAGTCCCGAGGGCCCCAACCCGGAAGTCTGCATCTCCCTACCTGACTCAGTTTAACTGTCAGGGATTTCATGGATTGATGCCATGTTTTTGTTTGGCCACCACTTACTCTTTTCTGACCTGCACCTATATTAGCTAGTAATGCCCGTCGGGGGAGGCGATAGTTAGGCATGCGCAGCACGTGACCTAGCCATCGCAGTCTATATAACTTTATAGCCTCGTCGATTGATTTTCCCTTTCCCACTGCTACCGAAACTTCAAGTCTCTAGCTTGAAGCCCTACGTTCCACTGGGAACGTGAAGGAATAAAAAAGTCAATCTTTAGCTTGTTGGAAGCTACTGGACGGATGTTCTGAAGCTGTAATGAGATGTTATGACCAATGGAGTTCACTCTCATATCACGGTGAAGTAGATGCTCGTCGGTGGCATTAGTTGATGACAGTGCTATATCACGGATTGAAAAAACTACGATTTACTGGTTATTGATCTTTGGGGCGAATAGCTGAATCGTCAACGAGTTGGTCTCATAATCTGAAGGTCTTGGGTTCGACCGTATGTGAGGTTGTAGGGGCGCACACCACTGAAGAGCCTCAAAACCAGGATGAAACAGCTGTCTAATATCCCTTGGCCTTTAGTGATTTTTCTCACTGATGTTTCATGATGAAATCTATATTGAAATATCGTATTTGTTAAATTAGGTCGGGTGATTTCTTAAAACTTCTTAGTGTTAGTCGATTCAAGTACTTAACTTACATTAAATGAGATTACAGCTATTTATGCATTTGAGAGGAGAAATCTTTTGAAGATACAAAAAGGAAGAAAATCTTAATCATATTAAGAGTACTTTTTTAAGGATTGAATTATTTATGTGTGTGATTTGTTTGCAGGAGAAAAATTCACTCAACCAATAAATAACCAATTTATCCCTAACTTTATTGACTCCCATATTTCTAATCAGAGTCATTCGGTCAATATAGCCAACTTTTAGCAAACAAAAATACTTTTGTCGCGTGTACATCTCACGTGCCAGTTGTCTAATCTGACCAAATTTACTTAAGATTAAGTACTAAGGATTTCATCATGCAAAGAAACCCATAATAAATACAATATACTTCAAAAATTAAGTAGTAGAGTGGGGTATTCAGGCAGCATAGAAACAAAATCTCAATCACATCATGCTAAAAAACAAGTTGGGAACATATATATATATATATACTGAATGCTTACCAGAGCAGCTGAACAACGCCCACCCATAATGTAACGGTCACCACGATAGATACGACCTCGCGTAGCATTATTCACAAGTGTTGAAAATATTAGAATTAGAAAAGCTAATAGAACAGCTACAGCTCCGTTTACAACAGCAGCTATTCTTAAATACGGCAAACTAAAAAAAAATTGATAAAAAAATAATGATGAAGTGTTAGAGATAAGGAAAACAAGTTGCAAAGAAAGGACTAATCTTGTTTAATGTTTACCGTAAGGATCTAAAGTCAACAGTTATGAAAGTTTTAAAAATAATTAAAAAGGCTCTAGCGAAGTAAGTACCACAAAACCATAATGACCTTAGATAGACGAAGAAAAATTCATAATGAAAACGGTTAATCGGCAGTTACTTAAATGTTCGTGTGCTTATTTTTCAGTCATACAGAATTGTGAAGGCTGATAGAACTTGGTCGACTAAATATCGATGGGCAAAGTAGTATCCAAGATAAATGAGCGACAACTGTCTGCTTCGGTCAGTTCCACTTTCAGCAGCAGGAGAGAAAATGAGCGCATGAGTCATTTGTCAAGTGACAAAATACCTACGTCATAATGACTATCGGAAACTACAGACAATTAGAAAGGAGACCAAGAAGGTAGATGACAGCATCGAATAGCCATCTAGCTTTGTTAAAACGACTAGTTAATGTAGACATAGTAGGGGAACTAAATGGAATGATGAATAGAATGTTGTAGTGAACAATTCAGAAGTGTTCTCGATAAATTATTGGTTGCTAAGTGGCCTTTACTTTTATCCCCTATTAACATCTTGACGATAAACAAAATTAGGTTCCGGAATACTGGTACACTGGATGTAGCCAGTAACACCCGCTATTCCCAAACGACTGCTCATGCAAACAGTAACCGGCCACAACGTGGCTTAAAGCTGGTAGTGAGATGAAAACCGGTATTTCCAACATGGTATGGTCGCCAACAGCTATTATTTTCCGCATAATATATAAACAATTCTCAATTATATCTCTCCTTACAGGATTGTTCTAACTGTTTTTCAATGGCATTGTTAGAAATTTAAGTGAGTCATCTTGCATACACGTCTTGTTTAGACTACAAGCTACTTTTATTAAATGGAATTTGCTTAAAAAATTTGAGCAGTCACTTTTTGTTATCAAGATATAATTCTTTCCTAAACGAATATATAACATTATCACAGTCTTTCAGGAAAAACAATGATTGAAATTGTTTAAATTCGATTCATAGAGGAAACCATGATACCACAATGAAATATAAAAGATAGCAAATTTGCTTATTGATAGCACTTGAAACAACTTACGAGTAAACAGGAAAAAAATAAAGTCGAAAGTATGTATCAATACGTGAAATTCCAGAATATATTGTACCACATAAAACACCACCTCCGACAAGTACAAGGATGAATCCGATCACCGAGTTGTAAGGAACACGACCAAGACAGCTTCCTTTGTCTAATTAAAAAAATTAACAGGAAAAGGTATGTAACACATCATATAGTCCCATTAAAATGTGTAGAAAAAAAGCAATCTGAGGATTGTTGATATTATACGGTTGGAAGCAATCGACAGGAAGCCTTGAACCTAGGCCTCATGCTTGTCGACACTCATCAACAAGGCGTCTGAGCAACCTTGAAGGAACTCATGTTCCCTCTGAGACTTGAACCCGTGTCACTCAATGCTGCAGTCAGAGACGTTACCATGATCCATTACACGATGCACGCAAATTTAGAATACAAACCGCAGGAAAGTTTCTCAATTGTATTTTTTCTCACAATTAAAGTTATCTTTCTAAGGGGGAAAATGATTCCATCAGATAACTACAAAATACCCAGCTGAAAAATAAAATCGCATAAACTAATATGTACCAGGGATGTCACACCTAACGATACTACCAAATTGTACCGATCGAAGTAGGTGTAGGGTTAGAACCCATTGTTCACCTAAAATTCAGTATTTAAGTCAATGAGTCCCACCATTTGTTTCTGGATATTAGCCATTACAATGGTGTGAAGAACGACAACGATACCACATGCCTGCTCAAACATCAGTAGGTGGGGCGGAAATCAACCTCAGGAGACACTTCTTTAAGATTGAATAACTATAACCAATGAGCCACAATCCCACTTAAATATATGGAAAATTGTGAAGTATTTGCTAAATAGCCTGGATGCTGGGTTCTATTTTCCTTATTAACAGATTCATAAACCTACACGTATTACGTCACAGACTACGATAAGTTTTTGAGTACATAGTATAGTTTATCATCAGTTTTATAGCACAGCTTAAAGGCTTCACGATGACAGGAAGTACACTACTTTATGATTGGGAGTGAAAAAGTCAGTAAGTTTTCTCCAGCAATAAACTCTTATTACTTCTTTCAGTAATGTCTCTTAGGAGTGGGTTACTAAATGACACGTTGGTTGATTACGACTCAGTTATCCGGTATAGGACTATGAGCCATACTTATTATGTGAAGGCTGATGATACTAGCCAGTTGTTCAAGCTGAAGTAGGTGGGGAGGCGAATCGAACCCAGGACTGACTGACTGAGTTTCAACATAGGCTTTAGCACAGAGGTGCTGCATTTTAAGTTGCCACGTTCCATGTAGCATAGAAAAGTAAACAAAAGAGAGAAAAGGGGATTCAGAAGTTCTAAAAGAAATAGAAATATGAGGGAAACGGAAGAGTTACATGGGAAAGAAAACTAAGGTTTACTGGATATGGGAGACCGAAATGAGTGAGTGTATCTACCCAATGAGAACAATTTTGAGTCATATCACTAATAGGCTCCAACCATTGGATTTTAGCATCTCGAGGACCAGGAATACAGCGGTTGGAAGTGGAGTACTTAAGCAAATGGAGTTATATCTCGATGCCGACAGATTACAAAGCAGTGCAACTGCTAGTGTTCAGTTGAACTTCCGATAAATTGAATCAGAACTAAGCCGGATATTTGAGGCCTGAACAAAATCGGAAAACGTGAAATGTTGCTCAACAACCATTTATACGCATTTAACACTGAGCTACACCTATTGTGTGAGCTGATTGCTTGATTTCCCAGACTTCCATACGTGGGTCGCAGTTTTAACTCAAAAACCAGCAGTTTCAAAGTCGGGACTATGAAGTAATAAGCTACACCACCACAAAATTACATTATTACAACATTACACTAGCTCATCAATAATTATCCAAATGATCACATAATAAGATAGTAGTAACGTGTTTTCCATCCCAATGCAGTGAAGACGCTTTCAGTTTACAATCATACTGACAGTCCCCTGGCCTTTATGACGCAGCAGATTGTGGTTGGTGAATATTTGTGGAATGTTCCCAACTTTCACTCTCCTGAAAAGTATATTATTACTCAGAGATTCATTAACATCGATACATCGTATGAGTATAGGTCGTAAATCTACCGATCATTCCGCTCATTTTCATAAACTATGACAATTCGTTGGCTGATGAAGTATATGTACGTATATAAAAAGCTCGTATAGCTTTCGCTGAAGCATGACACTTGCAGTTCAGGAGGAATTTACAATGACCTACAAAGGGTCGTGTGCATTATGCATGAGGTGACTTCATGTGTTAACAGGACTAGTTTGGTGGTCACTGGTTGTCTAATCTGTGTAAGGACACGTGGCTTTGCTGATTGAAGTTCATCTGATAACTAGAAAGTACGGTTACTCTTAGAGATATAATTCTAAATTGATCAGACGTTTCTATCGATGACGTCTTATCATATCTTCACAATTATCTCACTTTTTGTTATCTATCATTTTACATGCTTATACGTTGTGTGGTAACCGAGGTCACTAAGCACTAACGCTAATACGATTTTACTGTCAAACAAGAACATCATTTATACATTTGTTCTAATACAAAGAACCCTTTCAGTATACCTGTGTAACCTCCCAAAAACACTTAAATACTATATAACTATGCTTTACCATTTAAATATATCCAATATGGAGTCATGGTCGCATTAAACCGCGAAAACTTCTATTTCCATATATGCATCGTTGTTAAATTAGTATGAGAACTGCCATTCTCCTTATTGCTAAGCTTGAGGTTGCTTACTGAGGCATGACATAATTCACGTCTTGCCGTGTGACGTTACTGATTCTCACGGTGGTCATTTCTTATAGGAATTCACTCCCGTTTATTATTCTGTAAGCTGATAACACATGTGGTTATTTACAATGTACTATATATATATATATATATATATATATATATATATATATATATATATTTACAGAGGAAGGTATGAATTTAGAAGTATTTACGCATTCCAGTCTCTAATGCAAACTGTGACTGTTATATACATTAATATCATTCCTAAGCTGTAGTTACGAATCACATATAAGTGAGTTGTTAGTTATGAGGACTTATTTGTGAACAAGACTATAATGCCAGTGCTGTGGTTTAGTTAAAAGAAAATGTTAATATTGCGATTCTTGGAGCAATGCATTAATCGTTTAATTTCATTGTGGTACAAAATGTCACTTCTGTTAAAAGTAAAACAGTTTGAAAAGGGGGATTCCCCCCAATAGAGTGCATTGTAAATAACCACATGTGTTATCAGCTTACAGAATAATAAACGGGAGTGAATTCCTATAAGAAATGACCACCGTGAGAATCAGTAACGTCACACGGCAAGACGTGAATTATGTCATGCCTCAGTAAGCAACCTCAAGCTTAGCAATAAGGAGAATGGCAGTTCTCATACTAATTTAACAACGATGCATATATGGAAATAGAAGTTTTCGCGGTTTAATGCGACCATGACTCCATATTGGATTTATTTAAATGGTAAAGCATAGTTATATAGTATTAATAACTGCATGACATTTCGAAAACAATTTACGGCGAAGTTAAAGTATCATAGCCAAAGTCACAGTTTTTCAAAAGTCGACCCCCAAGAACCAATCAGATAATGAGAAGGCCACGAAAGGTCATTTCAAATTAAATCATGGCTGCCTTTTTGGACTTGAAGAGGGTAGATACAGTATTCTACTTACTTACTAGGTGCTTTTTCTGAAAATCTTTATCGTTAGGTAGGATTATGGCTTCTAAGATTAAAGTTTAGTGCCTAGAGGTAAGGTTAGAATTAGGGTTAAAGTTAGGATTATGGTTAGAGTTAGGAGTAGGCTGAAGAAGAGTGTCAAGAATATCAGTGGATTTCAAAGTACCATTACCTATAGTCACCTGGATGAATGCATCTATTGCGCATGGTAAGATTTCTCTATACATCATGTGTAATAAACGGACATGCTTACAACACAGTGTGATATTGTGTCTGAAGTTTTTTTAATGCGCTTTTCAACGATTATGCGACTTTATGGTACCTGGATTCTGATTGGTTGTTCAAGGTCAGTGAGATTTTGGTTATGATAGTTCACCTTTGCCCAATTTATTGCTCATAATCATATCAGTCTATCCACAGAGCTTGACAGTTGATATGATTATGAACAGTAAATAATTCTCGAAGTCATCCACTTATTAATTAATACCGTATCATTGTGTTGTATTAAGTAAACTTATCTGATAAATATGAGACAATACCACCGACCAAATTCTACGCTTTAATTAATGGGATTATCAACGCTTCCAGGAGGTTGACAGCCTACTTGAAACTTTGGTCGTAAACTTACTCCTAGTTGCGAACCTAAACCTCCTAATGTATGGTAGAAATCTGGTCCTGCAGATCGTCAGAGGCTACATGAATATGCACTGCACACTGACCGAGTCAAAATATCATTCAGTCGCAAAAATAAGACTGATAAATGCATGGGATTAAATTCTGTTCGTAAGCGAAAAATGAGAAAAGCAAGTTAGAAAACATCGGGGCCAAATGCACAGATCATTTCAAAGACTTATAAGTTAAATGGAAACTACAGAACGCTGGTCCTCTAAGAGGTGACTGTATATTTCCCACCAATAAACAACCGGAAATGAATAACATTTGGTCAAATATTCAGAATAACCACGTACTCAGTACTATGTGTACACGTAAACCAACTCGTGAAAATGCCTGCCTCAACGCGTTTTTACATATAGCCATCGATATAAGTGGATGTTGAGCAGTAAGAGTTCATGTCGCACCACATATGTGCATGATTGGTGATTTATAATTAATCCGCTAGATGTCGGCACACTGCTAGTGTGATTATTAGGAGAAATGACACAATGTAAGTAATAAACACAATCTTAAATATCGGAAATGACGACCGTAGAACAAATCGAAGCCTAAAAATGCTATGGAGAAATAGAACTTGATACACATCAAAACCACAAAACATCGAGGAAACATTCGACAATTTATCTCAGCTTTTACGTAGAGGGATACTGAATGAAGAACAAACAGAAGTGCTTTAACTGTGAACATACAGCATATACGACAGTCGCAGATTTCCAACGAAAACCTCGATTTTGAATCCCCAAAAATCATCCGAAGATACAACAAAACCAAACCCATGTAAAGTAAATAACCAAAGTGTCTGCAATCATCCTTAGTAGACTTGTAAGCATCACAGTTTAAAGGCTGAACGAACTCACCCATCTGAAGGTCATTTGATACGCTAAATGCAAATAACGCGCCAGGGTTAAGTACTAACCCTAAAATTACGAAAACTAAGCGGTAAAAGAAGAGTTACTGATTTTCAGTACTAACTCATAAAAAACAAAGCATGCAATGTGTGGAAGCACTTCATTCATCAGAAGATAATCTCTATGAATGCTTTTTACAACAGTCCTTAGAGTATTTAATACTATTAAAGAGAACGCGACCAGTTAAATATCTAGTCGAACTGATAAATTTCAAGCAAATCCAATCCTACATTCGAAGTGTCTTTCAAGTGGCGCTAGATCTGTGTAGAATTTTCCGAAATTTGTAAAGAAATTTCGTCATTGTCGTTTCCTCTGAATTTTTGACGTTTTAATAAACTTTGTACACCCTCTGTATTGGGTCTGAGGCTTCGCTTAACAGAGAAACATATACCTAAAATTTATCAAAACATGTTGAGGGTGGTCATATTGATGCTATCGCATATCGTAATCCAACATATAGGCTGAAACAGTCACCTCTGAAGTCTTCCCACTATAAGGTCATCATTAGTTTTGGCCGGAAATAAAGATAATGTGAAAAATTGGGAAAATCATTAGAGGGATAATAGGTAAAAAAAATTCAGCCCTAATTAATGAGTTGATTACTCTGCTTCAAAGATATCTCCTGATAGTTTCTTTGGTCCTTATATTTTTGCCAGTTCCTCAATAAAATTAAATACGCATCTCCTGGAAGATTATGGTATGTGTATTACTAAACGGAGCACTTAAGTGATCCGATTGGACAGAGATTCCCAAGACTGCTTACAAACGATTCTTGGTAATCGGCTTCTTGGATGGAGTCACAAGAACCTCAGTACATCAGTGCGCGTCTAATGGAAGACCAAATTACGATTGGTGACTTGTTGATTTTGAACAGTTGGTTCCACAGGTGTTCACAGTTTCTACAAAGGCCAAAAATTCAGTAGTCATTTGAAACTTCATTTTGTGATTCAAATGAACATTGATATTTCTATAAGACCGTCTATTTGCATCAAACACAGCTGTATATCTACTTGGAAATACTTTGAGTGTTAGACTTGAGCATGTTTGGAACTACTCCTCTATCATGCGCATAACACTTTGACTTGATTATCATGGTCATTATTGTTCCCTTGGGTTCCAGGAGAAGTATGAGGTTTCAGGAACACACAGCTGTTTCACTCCATCATCTGCAGTCTCTCAAGGCTGACTTTGCAGTTGTTCACAAGCTATCATCTCCAGCTCAGACGTCATCCTTCATGCCACACTTTGACAGACAACTCATGGTTTCGCACTCGAATTCTAAGCAGTTAAGCTGCTACTGAGGCAATTCTACGACAAACGCATAAAGCACAGCGTCCCTTCGTATTGCTTCGGAGGATAATTGCGGTACAGAGGTGCATGACGTCATCTAGAAACGTAAACTGGCCTGAAAACGAGAGTGTGTACATATTTTCATTGCCGGCAACTGCTGCAAAATGGAATATTATTTGAAAACGGAAAGCTAATGCATTTGACAAAGAGTTCGGAAGGTTTCCTTATATACAGAGAAACATTATGAAGATGTTGAAGTAATACTCATTACCTGCAATAAGTTATACGGCTGGTCACACTTTGAAGTAAAAACCATACTTAAGCTGTAAAGCACTCATCAAGAAGATTAAGAACTTCCCTAGAATAAAGAATCGTCTCTATGATGACGTCCCAAAACACATTAAGTGGAGTCTGTCACTCGAAGTTAAAGTACTTTGGTAAGGGGTTGATTGGATACGTGAGATCACACATAGTGAATGCATCTGTCATTGATAACGATTTGGAGTCACTATATGCTTACTTTCAATATTACTCACCATGTTATACTACTTACACAGGGAATAGGGAACAGATAGCTACAACCAAACACCAGTGGTATATTAATATCTCCCAGGTTCAGTAGCCACCTCCCACAACTTGGGTGGACAATATTATAAGCATACTCCAAGTCGAGGAAACTGTTCCCTGGTAAGTCCCTAAAGTCAATGACAGAAAATTTTATTAGTATATGGATGATGAAATCGAAGCAAAATAGGGACGACAGTTGTAGAAATGAGCCTTGTATTACATCCGGCTTGGAAATATGAGTTCCCTCATAGTTTAATTTCAGCACTTAGTGAATGGAATGCAATTTGTAGAATCCGTAAACTTCATGAACTGACTCACTTCTTTTCGAAAAATCTAGTTAATGTTTCCTCAGTAAAGTGAGAAATCGGCATTGTGGTTGTGTAAACCCAATAAATTGTGAAGTGCTGCTTGATGAACATCAAATATAAACAGGAAGTGCACAGGACTTAGTAAAACACATACACTTTTGATTTCAAAATTGAAGTCTGCTTCCCAAATATATTGCTGTAAAATCCCACACAGTTCACAAATTAACTCATAACACTGAAGGGTAAAAACTTATATTTATCCTTACTGAACTTAATATGGAGAGTCTTGTGAAGTAATTCCTACGGTATTAAACTTCTTATGCAGAGGACAGGGCAAGGCACGCATGATCTTTTGCTTCATATGGAATCGCAATGCAACTCGATGTGCCATAGTATTTATAGTTTAGGGATGAGGTACTGACGTTCGCAGATAGTACGAAGTATACTAACACAAGATCTAATACCCACACCTTCCATAGGATTCGTTTCATGTAGGCCGAAGGCAAAACAGAAACACCAGGATTGACCGTCCAAATTACGAGTTGTATTTCGGGACCAAGTCGGAGTGCGAGATGATTGCTTAACTAGCTAGGGATCGTGTACGAACTAACGTGACAAGACGGCGTGCCAAATGTGGTGGATGCTTGACCGGAAGCCTTCAGGTAAACAAGTTGACTTAAAGAGTGAGGGTCAGCATCCAATGTTCGGTGATGAATTCTGTGGCCAATAATTCTGGGGAATCACCTACCGCTACAATACGAATAAACTGAAAAATAAAGTTTTCCCTACTTGTTAAACAACTTATCCTTCTTTCAACCAAGATAATAATATTCTTTCCCGTATGAGCCTAAGTCATGTTGATAAAATCTGAATATTGTAGCAATTAAATCTTTCCACAAAATAAAGGCTACTTGAAAGACAAGTTTGCACAATGCCACACGCTGTGCCCATAGTGCTAGTGTTTTGTGTTTTAAAATGAAAAGCAGACTGTGATGACTAAGTGAATACTGAAATTAATGCTGAAATTGAGCTATGAATACCAACAACTACAAAACCAATTAAGACAGTAGCGTCTCAGTAAATGGACCTGATAAACCAGTATGATTCCATAAAAATCCAGAAACAAACGCTGAAATTTGGAACTCCCTGCCTTACTTAATCCATCACATTGCGCAGATATCAGCATCAAGCAACATTTCCTGATACAAGTGCTGCAAATGTAACTCAGTCCAAGTACATTATGCTCTTACTCCCGAACTATTCTTAAGGTTGTATACGACATACGTGGGGCCACTCCTTGAGGTGAATAATATCATTGCTCCTCCGCTACTCAAAAGGGATGCTAACATTCTAGAAAGTGTCCAGAGACGAGCGACGAAATGGGTGATCGGCCTCCGCAACAAATCATATTAGGAAAGACTGAAGAAATTAAGTCTTTTCACACTTAGTTACCGTAGTCACAGGGGAGACCTCATCACCGTCTATAAGATCTTAAATGACCAGGCCCACTCTAATAAAAGCATCCTGCCATTAAGTGATTATAGGCTTCCACGAGGTAACCCGCTAAGGATAGCACACCAGAGACCAAGGACTTGAGAGCGATCATATTTTTTTCGCTTCGAGTTTGCCGTCTCTGGAACGCTTTACCGGCGGCCGTGACTACAGCGCCATCTGTGGAGACTTTTAAGCGGAAGCTGGACAATCATGCAGAAATGCAAGGTTTGTGTCTCAATGGCTTATCCACCACACTGTCAATGGATAAGCATATAAGCTAGATCCCCACGACCCGTTCTGTCTTCTCTCACTGTACCAACTACTCTATCTTTTCCTTGGGTCACCTTTATTATTTCACTTATCTCAACCTATATTATCTACACTACAACCTATTATTATTACTATTCTGCTTTTATGACTACACCGAATGACCAACGGGTGTTAGGTCAAACTCCATTCACGGCAGCAACTCAGTCCTGCACACACTACAAACCACATTTTGACCAACCCCCACACCACTCCTCTTGGAGTCTACCAGAGCTAAAGCAGTTGAGTGGTGGGGCTTACTACGCATAAGTTCACCGAAGATCTGGAACCTCTACCTTACAATCAAGAAGCGAGCCCAAAGATATCACTGGTTTATGCTAGCTCGTAATCAGGATATTGGATATTGGATTCCCTGACAACTCCATTTGCTGTTTTCTGTGCTGCTGCCGTTTGCTTTCTTTTGTGTCTCTTTCCCTCTCAACATTTTAGCTCCTATGTGACTTCCTGAAAGATGGTGAGGAACGTAAATTTTTGGCGACTTACAATAACAAAAGGTCTGCAAAAATTGCAGGTCCCAAATCTTACAGATGCCTGGCAAAATACCCCTTACTTTCTTCTGTGGCACATCCTGGATCAAATTTGTGAAATATTACCAATATATACCAATAAATAAATCTCAGTCACTTACTGCACGGAGCCAATAAATCTGTTAGTTAAAGAGGTAATGAAAATATACGGGTGGTTGGATTTATAATCTCACTGACTCGTGTGATGATAATTTTCAGCTCCTGCATGCCCCCTCGTCATTTTATAAGGATTAGTTCGCCATTATTCTGATCTCTAGCCGCTCATGGACTCCGAATTACTTGTTGCTGTAACAACACTTCCGTTTACGTTTAACTGGTCACTGCTACGATAAGTCACTGGCATTATTATCCATGAACTGACCAACTTTTCACAGTAAGATTTTATCACTTGGTTAATAACCTACCGTACCTATATAACGCAGTGAGCAACAGTCACGCAAGGAAGGGAAGCAGGAGGTGAACTCTGAAAGAGCGTGTAATTTGTACAATGCCAGAAATTAGAGTTTGCTGGC